GTTCAGCTTTACTGAAGTTTCTGAGTTTGAGGCTGAATAACTTTCTTATCACTCAAATGAGTTCATCTCCCTTCTCAGATTCTATTAAGAATTTGAATGAGAGTAGAGTGTGCCTATGCCTATGTGAGAAAGAGAGAACAAGAACTAGTGGAAACCAATGATTTCTAAAACCATTTCTTTCTTTTTGAATGAAGCCAGAAAACAGCTCTAATTAATCTAATACATTTTCAGACTATTTTCTTTTACATCAACACATTTTAATACAGCTACAACTATTTTTACTACTACCATTCACTTTGAACTCCTTTTAATAGGGATAATGAGTCTGGCTGCCTTGAACCACTCTAACATTTTTAATATTAACATATTTTAATACAATACTGTTTTCATTACTTCCATTTTTCATTCCTATTATTAACCAAGAAACCTTTGAACTCCTTTATAATGAGAATAATAATTCTAGCACTTGGCTTGCTGTCCCTCTGCTCTCCAATTCTACTTTGTTTTACACATCTTGGCAGTCTAAAATTCCTCTTGTAATTTTATGTTTTCTACCTTCTAATTTTCACAATATCATGTCTAACTCACCAATTAATTTCACTTAGAATTAACCTTGTCTTTTGTTTATGTTCTAAATGCTTTACCTTTTGAAAGTACTTTTAATAGTTTTTAAGCCTGTGCTATGTCCTATAATGTACTTTGAAACTTTAGGCTTTGTTGTTAAATTAAGGTTCTCTAGGTACTGAAATATCTTACGTCGGCCTTCAAAGAGAAAAGTTTTCTTGGCCAAGCTTAGAGGTTGTGGAAATCACACCATTCATCTGAGCTTTGTATAAATTTTTCTCCCAAGTTCTTATCTACAAATGCTAAGGATAAAATGTAAGGTCATTCTTAGCCTCACATTTGTAACATTTTATATCACTTTTATCGGCCTTTGCCTCCAGAGTTTAAAAACATTGACAGTAGATATGTGAGAGAAGGAGCAGAGATTTGGGAGATTTTTGTTTTGTTTTTGTTTTTGTTCATTGTTTTTCATGATTGGTCAAAAGAACAGCCTGATATAATGGGAAGGGGGGAGAACCTTTGGAATCTGGTCACTATGAATTAGCATTCCAGCTTTGCCACCTCTTAGCTATTTGACCTCAGTTACTAAATGAAGCCCCATTTCATCTCTCTGTTTGGTGGAAGATTAGCAATATGTGCAAAACACCTGGTACACAGCTGGACTCACAACTGTGAGAATGGGAATCATCATTTGGCTATGTGACTTTGAGCAAGCCACTTATCTTAGATCTCTGTTTTCGTACATAAAAGTGAGACACTTATTTAATACATAAAAGTGAAAAACTTCATGGAGTTGTGAGATTAAATAAGCTTAAAATACTAGGGTTCTTAAAACCATGTTCTTTGTATGGTAATCACTATATATGTGTAAGCTATTCTTATCATCATTGTTGCTAACTTTATTTTATTATTATCACTGTTAACATGTACTAAGAACATTGGGAAAATCTTCTCATCAAATGCTTTATTGAGTAAATAATCAATAAGTATCTTGTTGGATTATTATCACTTCCACATAGTTTATTCAGTGGGGCAAGGAGGTGAAATAACTACTACCACAATCATCAGTAATCTTGTTTTAGGTACATTTGTTTCTCTATTCTTGCATCATCTGCATAATTTATCAGCAACTTTCATATCTTTAATATCACAGATTTGCTAATTTGGGGCATGTTACCTGCTGCAAAAAGTTTACCATGTTAGCCAATTTCTCAGTATTTTCCTAACATTCTTATCACTGATAACTTACTTTAGTCAGTGCTTTACAGAGAATCTAAGATTTATTATGAGTACTTGCCCAAAGCCATGTTAGGATTAAGAAAAAAATTCATATAAAATTTTTAACAGGTACATAGTAAGTATTAATATATTAGCTAGTCTTACTATTATCAAATATTTTATATAAATTATCTCACTTGGTCCTTCAATAAATAATCCTATGAGGAAAATTCCACATTTCAAGAAATAGAAATAGACAAATCAAGATCAAAAGTTAAGAAATAAGAAAGAGAGAAAGGATTCAATTTATTGTCTCTCTTATCCCAAAACACTCTTTCCACTACACTTGAGGAGCCTTTATCATTTCTCCTTTCACCTTTTTCATAATAAGTCTCAGTTTATTCCAATTTCCTTCTCAGCCTTTAGGTATTAATATTACTTCTTCAATTATTACGGCCAGTCTCCCTGGGATTAATTAGGGTCTTTTCAAATCCATTTCCATGTGGGGTATTAACTGTTAAAGATAAGCAAAAGGCCCCTGGATTCTGCCTCTGAAAAGGATATTTAAAAGCCTTACAATCAAATCCTATATCTATCGGTCTAGTAATAATTAATGTCGTTTTAAAACATTCGTTTAAAATCTTGCTTGGCGTTGACTTGTATTGACATAACCTTCAAACACGTGGTATCTACAGAACGTGTGAAGTGCAATGAACAAGTTTTGCTTGAAAAAGTTTGTGTTTGGTTTGGTTTTTGTTGCAAAACTAGGGCTAAGAAGATGGCGGATGAAGAGCATAGTCGGCACTGCATGCTTTACGAGTTCCAATTAGGAAGAAAAGCAAGTGAGGCTGCAAAAAACATCTGTAGTGCTCTTGGTCAAGATGCAGTTAGCGCCAGAAAATGCCAGCGTTGGTTTGAGAAATTTCGCGAGGGAAATTTTTCGTTAGATGATAAGAGTGGTCGAGGCCATGTGTCCAATTTTGATCAAGAAGCTCTTCAAGCTCTTTTGGTGCAAAATCCTCAAATTACCCAACGAGAGCTTGCGACAAAAGTACGGTCAATTTGCCTCTTACTTTTTTATTAGTGTAAATTAGAGTGACAAAATTATACAGGTTTCAGGTACATTATTCCATAACACATCATCTATACTCTGTATTGTGTATTCACCGCCCAAGTCAACTGTTCTACTGTCTTGTTGTTAGGAAACACAACAGAAAACATGATAGCCACACATCTGTGTGCTGTTGTTCAGTATCATGAAAGCTCAAGAGAAAACCATCTCATCTCTGTATCATTGGCACGTTATTACTTTTAAAAAGAAAGAAAGATCTAAAGCAATCACTGCAAATTACTAACACCTATTCAACCTGGTGGTGGACATAGAGGTCATATTATTTCCTGTACTTTTCTGTACATTTGAAATATTCATAAATTAAGGACAAAGAACTATAAATACAAAATGCAAATAAAATATGACTTCCCTTATAGAGTTTCTACTTACAGAATGCAAATACTTTTTATATGTTGGTAAACAAGTAAATATAGCTAAGCACTTAAATGCATGGTTATCCCATGATTACTTATTTCTGTTTTTTCCTAAGGTTTTTAAATATACACATGTCTACACCTCTGATTTAGGGTTTGATGGTCAAGACTTTCAAGGATCAATATCTATGTTTAAGGACTGGCTATAGAATGAACAGAAAGGCAGGGGGCCAATTCTTGTGATGCCCAGAGAGCTAAATGACTAAATGTCACACAGAGAAACATTAATCACCATGAAAAATTATAGTCCTTCTCTCTTTCAGGCTAAGAAGCATGTTCATCTGCCTCCTGAGAATGATTCCTTCTCTCAAGAGCAGACTTACTTTAACCAAGTTTTCAAGATGGATGAATAAAATCAGAATGCCAATGTATGAATTTACAGTGATAAATCTGTCACAGAGACAGTGTACTGACCCCCTATAAGGAAGCTTACATTGAACATTAAGTTATAATCACAGAAGTGTAGTTGTTAGCTACCTCTGTTGAAATTTAATAGTATTAAGCTGCACTAACCAAATACATCCATCCCCATATATGGGAAAGACCTACCAATAGAATGCTCAGAGAAATAAACAAATCAAATGCTAAATAAAAGAAAAACAAATACTAAAAATAGTCCATTAGCCAAATTTCTCTCTACCATAGCTAGTGCCTGGATGGACACTGTCACAATTTTCCTTTTGACACTCACATTTCTAAGCCTTAATAGTCATCAAGCTCCGCTTTGAATTGAGACTTTCTTCCTATAATGTGCTGGTACTCAATTGGATAGGCCATATGTCACCTACAGAATCAATTCTACCAATTATTTTTTTAGAGCTAATAAAAGACTTCATGTAGCAATTTAGGTTGAGTCATAGAAAAATGAGGAAATCTTTATGAGGGCCCATGATACAACTCATGAAGTTGATCACTCATGTATCCCAAGTTTCTAGAATAGTGCCAGTCAGTTAGTAGACACTCAGTAAATATTTATGTAGATGAACTTAAAGAACACATTTTAACTAGTCATTTTCTCACCACTCACTTAGTAAATATAATCATTCAGGATCTGGGAACTTTCTCCTACATACAGCCTGAGTTGCTTAGAGAAAATCCTCCAAATGCCATTCATCACCCATCAGCCACTACCACCACTTCAATCATTAAGTACTACCATAGAGACGCATTTCATATTATTCCTATGTATTCTAGTGCTCAAATGGGCACCAAAGTGCACTAAGCATGAATTCTTGGAAAAGATATTTCATTTTCTTCACATACCCGTAATCATAAGAAAAACACATAATCATTAAAAAAAATAGAAATAAGTATATAAATGCTACTAAGTTCTGTGTTTATGGAAACACTAGAGGCCCAGAGTATGAAATTCATGCACAGGTAGGGTCCCTAGCAGCTGCCGGCTGCCAACCAGGGCCTTCCTTCAGTCCGCACTGCCCCCTGGTGATGAGCGCATGTCATAGCGAGCAATTGAACTCCCAGTCATTGGAACTCCCAAGGTGACACTTTGCATATTAGGCTTTCATATATGTAGATAGATATGACACCTTGCTATTAAAATGGGCTAACAAAGAAAGTGTCTAGTGAAGTCTTAAAGTTCTAGAAGGCATCAATCCTACTGCCCTTAAGGTAAGACCTACACAGCATGAGTCTACTATGAGTATTTTACTCACTGCGTACTGGAACTTTTCATTGTATTCACGGTCATTGGCTTTTACTATCCGCTTCACTTCTAAAGAGAAAGAGAAATCAGGTATTAAATTAAATTTTTAACCCAAAGAAACATATAACTCATTAAACTAACATCTCTTAGGTTACTTTGAATTTCATCAAGGTTACAATAATTATTTCCTTTGAAATTTGAAGGGCATTGGGTTTTTTCCCAGCCTAAATGTTGGAACATGTATTGGAAAGTCCAAAAATGGAAAGTTAAAATGTTTCTCATTGTCTTTCTGATGCCAGCCACTAAGCAAAACATTACGTGTCTCCAATTTCTACACACTTCAGCTACACAAAGACCCTTTCTCTTAACTTCAAGTATTTCCTAAAGGAGAAGGAGCTGCTGAAAATCAAATGCCACTCTGGGAAGGATTTTTTTATTTATTTTTATTTCTATTATTTTTATTTTTATTTTTGCTACAAAGTCATAAAGTATAACATAGCCAAACAAAACCATCCTGAAACAGCCAGTGAAGTTGCTGACCTTATGGTCATGGAGTCAAGAGTCAAATGTAATATTTGTAAACCACCCAGGCTATTGAGGGGAACTCCACATCATCTGAAGACTGAGATCTGCCCTCAGTAAGATGTAGCCAAAAATAAAACCTCTTCTGAAAGCAAATGAAGAGTTCTGGCTAAGATGGTGACATATAGGAAGATTGCATACTCACCTTCTCCCATGGACACATGGAATCTATATCTATATATGAAAACATTTCCTCTCAGGGGGAAAAACTAAAAACTGGAAGAGCAACCCCTTTACATCAGGCAAACCACATCAAAGCTAGTAGGAGAGGCTGAGACACAATCTTACCATACACCCCACACCAACCCACAATCAGAAGGAAACTCAAAACTGGAGCTTCTCCTTAAGGAGCAAAGAGTTCAAACCCCACACCAGGGCCCCTCAACTTTTAAGACTGGCACCTGGGAGACAAGCCCCCAAAACTTCTGGCTTTGAAGACCAGTGGGGCTCACACCCATGAGAGAAGGGTATTGTAGTGAATTGAGGACTCACCCACCCCAGCGCCCAGCATAGAAGCAGCTCTCTGAAAGTGCCCAGGTGATGTGAAAAGACTCACTTGCTGGTTTAAAGCACTGGCTGAGGAGAGGTGCCTGCTGGGATACTCCCCAGGAAGGAGGCTGGCGGGCCCCACTTCCTGTTCCACCTTTGCCTTACGAAAGCCCGGAGGTGCCATCTTTGTTTTCTCCCTTTTTTATTTTTCTTTTCCTCCTTTTTTTTTCTCTGTTCTTTTCTTCTTTTTTCTCTTTTCCTTTTCTCCCCTCTTTTTTTTTCAATCTTCTTTTGCCTTACTACAACCAGTGGGCACTATCTTCACGCACTAACCTCTGCCACACACCAGAACCAGTATCTCCTGGAGAGAAGCTTCTACACATGTCTAGTGCCCTGGTTTTTATGTCTTGTGACTCGGTTTCTGCAGCTGCCACCCAGGGGATGCCCCTTAATCACCCGGCTCTGGAGGCCAGGGGAACTTTCATTCCTGGGGCCCATGGGGCTCTAACAATCAGAAATTCCTTTCCTAGCAGACTACCACCGTCAGGGCACTGCACAGATGGCAAACTGAAACACACCTCCAGTCTTTCTGAGAAAGAGACCTATTTGCTTTCCCTAGCTTTGGCCTGAGGGGCAGGCCCCTGGTTTGACTCACTCATAGGGGCGCATGGAGGGGTTCATGAACGAAGCCTCATGAATGCAATCTTAGCACTCCTCTTCTGCCTCATTCTAGATCATCTGTATCTTCCAGAAAAGTCCTCATTTTTCTCTGGTGCCCTGATTTTTGTGGCTACTATCACAGGACACCTCTACAGCCCCTAAAAGCATATGCAAACACAGGTACAAATAACAAAATAAAAGGAAAACAACCCCAAAGAGTATGATAGTGCAGAAATTAAAATTTGTAGAGGGCAGGAAAAGATGGTGCCCCGAAACAACAGCAGAACATATTTCTGTGGTAAGGGTAGCAAGTTCCATGTTTGCCGGGTCCAGCATTGACAAAGGGTAATGAGGGAACAATGAAAACTATGGGAGGAAGGTCAGCCAACCAATCACCAGATGTCAATGTTAGATTCTCATGGTTTAATGACTTAACCATCTCACCTGTGAATACCTGAATCTTATAACTCTCTGCCTGGATAAGTGACAGGTGATAGAAAGTATCGGGATAGGGATAAGAGTCTGAATTTAGAGTAGGTACACACAAGAGATAAAGAAGACTGGAGGTGGAAAGTAACTTAGAAGCACAAATTAGGGGTGAGAAAAGAAAGATGAAAAGGAAAGAAAATATAAGCAGAGCTAGAAATAGAAGTAAAATGAGAAAGATGAGGAGATTAAAACGGAGGGAAGGAAGAAAGGAACATATCTTCGCATCTATCCCCTATATCCAAGGAACCATAAGTTATAAGAACTGACTACATTTTCCCAACAGTCCAAGGAGAATCTAAATGTCTCTATAGCTCCTGTGGCTCAAATTCCAAGTATGAAGTTCACCTCTGAGGAATGCTCCTGACAAATGACACTCTGTCTTTGGTTACAGTTGAGTTTCTACCATTTAAAGAGTATTTGTCTGACATTCACTTACATGGCTTCCTTCTTATCTAACTAACGAAGTCAGTTCTCTATGACTGTTCACGTTTTTCAGTCTAGTTCACCTAACTTCTGATAAGAACAACATTGGATTGATGTCCACAGCTGATGACTCCTATTGTGTATAACTCTGAAATCCAGAACCTGTCAGGAAGCAACCTTTTAATCGACCATAGCCTGGAAGAAACAATTCAAACTCTGGCTATAAAAGCGTCATCCATTCTTTCTTTCTTGCTGATTCCAAAAAAAAAGTGCAAAAATATCAAAGCCCAAAATAGTATTTTAGAGGGTGAGGGGACTTAAGAGCTTTAAAAGAAATATATATATATATATATATATATATATATATATATATATATATATATCCGTATTTATATACCCCTACCTTGACTCAGATATAGTAAAACTGCTGACTGACAGAAAAACAATGGGTATTAATATTAGGAGGGTGGGGGAGGGGTCTCTTCTGCATGCAGTGGTTCTTCCCAATGAAGCCCACTGGCATCCTATAAGTAATTTACAGATTAATTTTAGCTGTAAATCAAAAATTGAATATGCTAATTTGCATACTAATTGGCTTTAGTTCAGATCATATACATTTAGATGATGACCAATTTTTTATTTCATATTTATATGAAGCATATCCAAGTATAAAACTTTATAGTTTTGCGTCTAATTTTACTCACTCCAAACAGCAGAATCTTGGCTCCTGCCAGTGTCTCCATGTAACCCTCCTCCCCAAGGACTGAGATTAGCCCTTTCCCAAAGTGGCCAAAGAAGTAATTTCTGTGTTAGGGAAGAGTGGATTCTCTTCTGAGTATCCACATTACTCTTGTCCCATGAGATCTTGTTAGAGCCAGAAAGTCTTCTTTCTGCTTTAAAATTCTTATTATTAAGTCTTCATCTTTGCTTCTGTACCTCCAGTAAGTTTTGTCTTTCTGAACTGATATTTCATGCCTAAACCTGGCAGAAGATTTTCCAACCCTTCACTGAGCTCTGCAAAGTAAAGGCTTTAGTTCTAAATCCCTACAGTTTTCAGCCTTTAACCTAAGATAGGCCTGAATCGTCTTTGCAGGAGTTGACATTCTTTCATGTGCTGACAGTGGGTGCTTCTTGGCAGTAATTCATATCCTGCAATAAGAGGAAGCTCAAAAGAAATCCCCATAAACAACTCCCATTGAGAATTGCTCAAAGGTTCAATGACTTAATACTCGATCTTTCATAGGCATCGTGATTTCCTTCCAGAAAGTGAGTAATAAAAGGCAAGAATTCACCAAGGGATTCACCAGTGTTAGCTCACTACTGCACAATTGTTATCACTGCATTGGGTTCTCAAAAGGAGTAAAATGATACACCACACACATATACAATATAGTGACACAGCACATATTTAAAGTGGTGTAAAAGAGCTCCCAGTGCAAGATAGCAAATGGAGTATATCTTTGTACCTCCTTTTCCTCGCAGGTCCCACTAACATGACAGAAAATATGGGTATTGTTGTTTTTAAGGAATAGAAATAAAACTATGCTGGGGTTTAGTAGAGCTTTATAAATTTTAGAGACAGTCTAGAAAATAGTATAGAAATAAGGATCAAGTGTGTGGGCGGGGAGAGGAGATAGGAATAGTTCTAACCAAAAAAAAATAGAAGAATGGGTCTTTCCAATGAAGCCCAGAAAAATTCCAAATGTAGTCAATAAAGACAAAGATTGAAGATGTGCCGTGGTCGGCAAACTGCAGCTCATGAACCACATGTGACTCTTTGGCCCCTTGAGTGTGGCTCTTCCACAAAATACCACGGCCTGGGCGAGTCTATTTGAAGAAGTGGCATTAGAAGAAGCTTACGTATTAAAAATTTGGCTCTCAAAAGAAATTTTAATCGTTGTACTGTTGATATTTGGCTCTGTTAACTAATGACTTTGCCGACCTCTGGGCTAAGGTGACAGTCCAATTTATGCCTATCGTCTTGGTGAAATAATAGGGTTCCCTTTTAATCTCAGAAGTGTCCTAGTTTGGAAAATAAATTATCTGATCATCTTAGTTCTGGAGCATCACCAGAATAATTAAATAATAAGCCAGTTGGGCCACATACCCCCTTCCCTGCCCACTAAAGGAGTAGGCAATATGCCTGGGAAGGAAACCAGGATTGGATGCCAGGTCAAAGAGAGAAGCAGGTCTGAACCTCCACGTCAGCTACAGCAGACCAGGCCTTGAAAAGCCTGCCTCACTGCAGCAGCTGCGGGTTGGCCACATTGCTGGACTAACAACACACAGTGCTACAGACTGAAGGTTTATATCTCCCCCAAATTTATATGTTGAAACGTAATCCCCAATGTATTGGAGGGACTTTGGGAGGTATATAGGTCATGAGAGTGAAGCCCTCATGAATGGTGCCAGAGCTTTTTTGTAAG